CTGTTCAGCTGGAACTTCCTCTGCTTCAGTTTGTGCCCCTTGCCCCTTGTCCTGCAGTTGGGGTAGTTTTTTGTTACGTGCACTTTGTCTGCTTGAGGGTGACGGCGTGGATCCGCCAGGAAGCGTCAGGCCATCCAGGTCTCCATGCTGGCTGAGTGTGTCGTCCCTTCGCGGAACGCTGAGGCCCCAGTGCAGACAGATGAGGACCTGGCTCCACATGGTGGGGCAGCTTAGTGCACTCGTAATTTCTTAACGCTTCACAGCTTCTTCATTAAGCCAGGGTCCTGCAGAAGGCTGGTGGGGCTGTGCTGGAGGAGTGGAAGAACAATTTTTGGAAAACTTGTAGTGTGCATAGCCAGTTTTCATTCTTGTGTGTGTGTGTTGCTGCACTGGCAGGTTGGATCGCCCCGGGGCAGGAGCTGCGCGGAGCAGCACAGCCGGAGTTTGGACGACATCCGCCTGCACCAGCGCCGGCACCCGCCGCTCAGTGCCACGCTGTCCTCGGACACGTCCCACAGCTACACGTTTGGCTGCAGCCTGGAGGACAGGCTGTCTGTCTACGGCTGCGTTTATTCCACGGCGGACTGCAAAACCAAGTCTGCCCTGTACGGGAAGCGATCCATGAACTGCCTCTCCTTGGACCTCCTGGGAGAGGACCAGCTCCCGGAGGAGTTCGTGGTGTAATGAGATTGGAGCTCTTCCACACCGGGAGACAGCTCATCGTGGAAATATATACCTCATTAACACGTGTGATGTCACTCTGCTTCTCGCAGGAGGTTGTGAGCAGCTTTGTTACTCCGCTCCGTAATCGGTGAGTGGCGACGGGGCCGTCAGCGGTGACGCCACCAGCACCAAAACCGGCGGGCCAGAACTGACGCGGAGCCAGTAAAGCAAACACTGTCTAGATGGATTTATCAGCACGGAATTTAAAGCCTGTCTCAGCTGATCTTCCTGCCTTTCTCCCGCGGTCCATCTGTGCGCACAGGTAGTTCGGGCGTCCTGAGTTGGTGCTGCTGCGACGCTACTGACAGCCGCCAGGCCAGGCCGGACTCCGCACGGGCTGTGCGGAAGCGTCTAGCATGGCCCTGTTGTAAAGAACTCAAGCTGCCCGTCCGCTTCACTGGGAGCAAGACCTGCTCTGACAGAAGTTGGTTACTTCTTGTTGTGTTGTTTTGTTGTAAGCATCCAGCCAAATACAACGTGCGTTCTCCACAGAATCACAGAATGTTCGGGGTTGGCAGGGACCTCTGTGGGTCACCCAGCCCAACCCCCTGTCCAA